GGCTGCCAGTAGAATGTTCCTTGCTCTCAGCTCCTGGAGGCTGCCCAGGCATCCTGGCCCTGGGCCCCTGTAGAGGGTTTCTCCAACGTGGCCGCTTTCACGGAAGCCTGCAGAGAACCGCGCTGACGCCAGGGAGGGCCCTGGTCCCTCTGAAAGGATCCTGTCAGGTCAGGTCAAGTCCAGAATAATCTCCCTTCAGATCAATTCAACACCAACCCGTTAGGGACCTCAATTCCATCAGCCAAAACAGTTTCTTTTTTTTTTCTTCTTCCAGCTGAGGTAACAAGATCAGGGCAGGGATAGCCTATCAGAGGATAGGTGGCCCACGTTCCAGGGGAGGGGTTACAGGGCTGACACCAGGGGGCAGTCTTAGAATTTGACCTGCTACACTTCCCGTCCCAGAACTCCCAGAGTAATAGAAACTCTGTAATAGAAACACAGAACAGCAAGGCGCTGGATTTCTAAATTAAGGTAGGGTTTGTTTGTTTTTTAAGTATATTTTTATTTCAGAGAGGAAGGAAGAGGGAGAGAGAGATAGAAACATCAATGATGAGAGAGAATCAATGATTGGCTGCCTCCTGCACACCCCCCACTGCATGCCCCCCACTGGGGAACAAGCCCACAACTCGGGCATGTGCCCTTGACTGGAATCGAATCTGGGAACCTTCAGTCCACAGGCCGACGCTCTATCCACCGAGCCAAACCGGCTAGAGCAATTAAGGTAAGTTTTTAACATGAAGTGCACAGGTCGGGATGTGTTCCCTCCCTTGTTTCGACATGTGGCTTATCACGTGGGAAAGGGGCATGCAGACTGTCCTAGAACCGAGTAACAATCTCTTCAACCCCACTTGGTTCTACAAGAACAGAAGGAAACAAATAATTGGCTGGACACAGTTGTGTAGGTTGTGTACTGCACAACCAGGAAGTGCCACTCACACCGTTGCTGACACTCTCGGGAGTTATGTGGTTACAGCCGAGGTCTCCAGACCTTTCCCACGACTCTGATGGCTGTCTCTAAGCACCAGGAGGGTCTACAATTATGACTCCCTGGCAGACAGCAAGTTGCTGTGGCACCATCGAATGCCAAGCCACTTGGGAACAACCTTGTTTCTGGGACATAAGACTTTCAGCCTCAAAGTGGTTGACTGCCCAGACCTCCCAGAAGGCCTTGGACCCCACTCTGAGCTCCGTGTTCCAGAGGGCTTCCCAGCCCTGACACATGGCGGTCCTCAGCCTCCTCGTGCCTACCTGCCATTCCAGGATGGGTGCTCAGCTGCCTCTGCCCCTGCCTTCCCTGACTCCTCCTTGGGTTCCCAGGTCGGCCTGTCCTTCTCAAAGCCAGCACCTTTTGTCACCCACTATCCTGGACAATCTGCTCTCCTAGACAGCTGAGATGGGCCTGGGTTGGGGCCAGCCTGTGCAAGGGACTGTGTAGGCTGGCTGTCCTGCCCTCCCAGTGGGGATGCCCTGCATACTGGGTGTGCTCTGATAGGAACAGGCCCTGCCTCCCTGGGCTCTCCCTGGTCAGTGGTCAGTGAGGCATGTCCACACCTATGGCTGTTTCAGCTGCTCTCCTCCAACCATCCCAGGCATGCGGAGTAGGAACAACAGCCTGGGAGAGGCAAGAGCTGGGGAGCCCACCTTTGGACACAGTAAGTGTGGCAGGCCCATGGACACTGGCTGGAACTGACCTCTGGCAGCTGGAGCTATCAGTCTGAACCTCAGTAGCAATCAAGGCTGGAGAGAAAATGGGGGAGGACCCCAAAAGCCCACTGTGGTGCTATGGAGGGAGCATCAGCTCAAATCCTGGCTCTGCCACTTGGGCAAATTAGTTGCCCCTCTCTTCTTGCTTATAAATTAAGGGTAAAATGTCTTCTCACAAGACCTGAGATGAAAGAAGATACTTATAAGGGGGAGGTACAAGGCATTCCCAGGGGATGTGCTCCACAGGTGGCTCCTGGGACTGTAACAGGTCGAGGATCACATGTGCAGCCTGTAACTGGACTGACGGACTGCCCTTCTCAGCAGCAGGCGCCAGCAAACTTCTCCATGGCCCTTGAGGAAAAGCTTGGGGCGTGGAACCGTTATGCCTCTGCAGGCCAGCTGTGACTGGCACTAAAAGTATCCAAACATTTAACAACTGACCCGAGCAGCCAGCTCACCATGGAGCACTTCCCTCCAGGAACCGTGAGCCCCCAGGGGGGTGTCTGTGTCTGCCATCGCACAGCTTTCCTGTGGGTTGTGAGTACATCTGTCTGTCTCACCCCGTGAGGACATGCAAAATGCCTTTTTTTTCTTGAATCCTCACATCCTACAGGTGTCTGGTACATAAAGGGGAGAGAAAGTCCTGGGTGGGTTTTCCTTTTAAAGAGGAAAATATGGTCTGAGCGAGCCCAGTTAGGACTCAATCTGGCCAGCAGAGGGCACAAGAACCTTAGAGGATGCAGATGGGGGTGACGTATCCAATAAGCTAGATTTCCTGGAAACACTTTCAGCAAGTAGCACATTTATAATACCAATTTTTCTGTCATATTCTCTCCCCTTGCTTATTCCTCGCAAGATTTGCCACTTGGCAGCTTCAAAGGCTTGCAGAGGCTTGGGAAATTCCCAGAAAATCAAGGCCATGGCCCCTTGGTCCATCCACATTTCACCAGCTGGAGAGGATGTAGATGGAATTGAGAAGAGAGAGGAAGGACTGGCCCAGAGGGAGTACACACACCTACAGTGGCTTTTCCCTCTCAGGGCTGCCGGCCAGTCACTAGGCTATCAGCAGCCTCAGAGTCTCTTAGGGCTGCCTTTGAAGAGAGTGAGCACCCTGTCACCTGGAGTGTGCAAGGAGCAGGAAACTGGGGTGAGCAATCTCTACTCCAAAGACTATTGTGTAAAGCATCCAGCCCAGTGTCTAGGTATATTAGTATCAGGATGATATTAAATTGTTGAGAATTCAGACATGGGAGTAGGGAATGTACCAGATGATTCATGTTTCTAAAGCCCCGATACTGGAAGAAAAGAAAATTAATTCTAACAATTTTAGCTAAGGTAACACTTCTGATATGTAAGTGCATTCATTTATGCAATCAGAAAAGGTAAATCTAGACCAGGAGTTGGCAAATTATGACCCACTGCCTGTTTTTTTAAAATATGTTTTTATTGGTTTCAGAGAGAGGAAAGGAGAGGGAGAGGCAGAAACACCAATGATGAGAGAGAATCATCCATCAGCTGCCTCTTGCACGCCCTCTACTAGGGATTGAGCCAGCAACCCAGCATGCGCCCTGGCCTGGAATCAAACCGTGACCTCCCGGTTCATGGGTCCATGCTCAACCACTGAGCAACACTGGCTGGGCCCCCTGCCTGTTTTTATATGGCTGTGATCTGAGAAAGGTTTTTACATTTTTAATGGTTGAAATAAATCAAAATAAGAACATTTCATGAGGTGAAAATTACATGAAATTCAAGTAATATTGTACATAAGTGAAGTCTGATGGAAACACAGCCACACTCATCATTTACACATTACCTCTGGCTACTTTCACACTAACAGCAGAGTGCAGCTGCTGCAACAGAAATGCACGGCCAACAGAGCCTGAAATATTCCTGGCCCTTTACAGAAAAAGTTTTGTGACCCCTCCACTAGTCTGTTAAAATTGGCAAGGAGCATTCATCCAGTACACCGTGTCGTCTTTTCATATGGGGAAACTGAGGTTTGGTCAGGGAATGGCCTTGTTCAAGGCCAGTAGCAGAAAAGAAGCTGAAGCCTGAGATCCTGGGCTCATTGTGGGGTCCCCCTGTGTGCTCTGCATGGCACTTGGGCATTTGTGAGCCGGGTCTCTGAGCCCGTTCTGGCACCTTGGCACCGAGAAGCAAGCACAAGAAGGTGCAGAGAGCACAGGTGTGATGGGGAGGAGGGGGCAGGAAAGACCAGTAACTCTGGATGGGGCACCAGGCTCCTGGCTCATTCCTCTGGCTCAGACCAGCAGGAGGACTGGCCTGGAGCCCAGGAACCAGAGGCTGGTCCTGGCCTGGCTTGTGAGGGACAAGGCGGCTGTGGCCTTTCTGTTTCCTGTGACAGCCCCCCACCCCCCACCCCACCCCTATTCTCAGATGGAGAAGGAACTTATGCGCCTGGGAGCAGACGCAAGTGTGAGTCCCTGCTTGAACAGGCAATGTGATCTGGCCTCCCCCTGCTTCTGGAAGATCCTGGGAGAAGGTGTAGTGCCCCGCCCCTTTACCTGGCTGGGAGGCGGGGCTAGGACTCCTTATTTAACTGGGGCCTGCCCCGCAGGCTACCCTGCTGGTTGGGAGGATGTCCTGGCCCAAGCAAACAGACCACAGAACCCTTCAAGGGCTCTGCCTCTGGCACCTGGGAGCGGGGGAGGGGGTGCGGTAAGTGCGAGGCCCCTCCCTTTATGATTAGGAGGCACACTGTGGCTTGGCTGTCCTACTGATTATGGGAAAGGGGGGGAGCAGAAGGGAAGGAGAGCGACAGGCAGAAGGAGATGCCGGCGGAGGAGGGCGAGTTAATAGAAGAAGAAAGGGAGTAAATGGAGGAGTGAGAGAGAGCGGAGTGCGAAGAAGTAAGGAAAAGAAAAAAGAAAGGAAGAGGTCTAGCCGCTCCAACAGCCTCTCGCCTCTGGCTGCGGAGACCCGGCCTCCCTCAGGGGGCCCTCCTCGCACTTGGCGGAGGCTCCTCGCACCGGCTGCCGGCGGATTCAGGTTCGCAGCGACCCGACCCGGGCGCGCTGACGGCCTGGCACCTGCCAGGATGGAGTCGCCAACAGCATCCTCGCTCTCCCCAGGAGGCCTGGACGCCCCCAGCCCGGGTGGGGGTCAGACCCGGCTTCCCGGCCTCGGCACCCGTTTCTCGGGCGCCCGGCGCTCACCGCGCAGGCTGGCCGCGTTCTGCGAGGGTCCTCGGCGCGCGCTGCGGGGAGGAACTCACACCACAGCGCGGGAGGCACGACCTCCTTGCCCCGCAGTGTGGCCTCCAGGACTCCGATCCGATGTCGCAGCGAGAGCCTCAGGGCCCACGGAGGTGCGGGCGCGAAATAGAGGCGGGGACCCCCGGGGGTAACCGCTCAGGGAGGGGCCGGAGGCCGCGCTACGTCCAGCAGAATCGCCCTGCGTCCACCAAGAACCGGTTTTCTATGGGCCAAAGCAGTCGTTGTCTGCTGATGCACCTTTTAAAACGCACCCTTCTAAGTAAAATGTCGCATTTAAAAAATAGTAATAAAGCAAAAAACAAAAGTTAGAAAGCGAAGTCCCCAATTCCAAAGGAACAGACTTGTAAATTCCGTGCAGCGGGAGCGGGAGGGGCGTGTCTTAGGACGCCGGCCCTAAACGCGATGCGAGCCTGGCACTCACAGGGTTGGAAATGAATCAAAACGAAAAGTCCACACCTGGCGGGAAACGCACACAAGAAGGAGTCGCAGGGACCCCCTTCCCAACGGGAAGGTCACGGCGCGCCCCGGAGCTGTGCCCTGAGTCCCGTTTGGAGGGCAGGGCTGTGTTGCCAAACT